GGTAATTCACTGCTGAACGACTTTTTCCGGCTAAGTCTGTAAGTCGCAGCTTGTTTCACCGCTTTTAGTGGCTTTCTTGTTCCTTGTTGCTTATTGTCGATTTCCTTAGGACCGAGTGCGGCAGCCGCCGTCGACGAGGCCTGACCACGCCAAAAAAATCGCAGCAAAGACCGCTGGCCCTGCTTTACTCCGTTGAAGGCGCTGCCGCACAGAAACCACAATAAATCTGAACTTTTCCGCGGGCCCAATTCCAGGTTAGAAAGAAAGTGACGGGATTTTGGTGTCCTGTCGCAACCCTTCCGGGCTAGCAAACCGTGTTCCGAGATTAACTCCAACATGTTGAGGACCTGCAAGATTGCACTTTGGATTGAGTCCAAAAGAGGCGACGTGGTCCATGTCAGGGCAAGTTTCATGTTAGGCAGCAAGACCCACAGCGATTCCAAGGCATGGACCAACTCTTGCCGTGGCGAGCATGCATTTGTTCAGAAATTCGACGCTGCTTTCGCCGATAATCTTTGCCCGCTCCAGCTCCAGCCAAAAAAAGTGGTGTCAAACATGTGGTCGGTTTTTTTTCGAGCATCCGGGTGCAAAGCTCACCAGACGAACGCTTTCTTTAAGCACTTAGCTTCCGCAGCGCGCAATTTCCAGACAAAGTTGGATGTCTTCTTCGAACAAGCACGAGTGTGGACTTGCAGATCGCATTTTCTCGAGATACTGGCCACAAAAAGCAAGTTTGCTGGCTTGGCACAGCTCTGTTTTGCTAGCAGCCACGCGTTGCACCGCTTCTACGGCAGCCACTGCTTTGTTTCACCTTTCTGCTTTTTGGCCTGTCTTGACAAGCCGTAACCGCGGTCGGGGAAAGGGGGTGTGTTGACTTTGGGCCGGGCTCTGGGGGCCAGCGTCCAAGGTTTCAGCCAACGGCCCATTTGCACAGTTTTTGGTGCAGCCGTGCACTTTCACATGCTTGACTTGGAGTTTTTGGTTAAGTTGGAGTGTTCTGCTTGCTGTTTGTTTTCGGCCAGAAGAGGGTTGCCTGATTTTGCTTGTTCAGCGGCGACCAGAGCTCTTGGCCTCGGCTCTGGGAAGTGACTTTCCGCTCGTTTTTGATCCCTACAGCTCTGGGAAAGGACTGGCAATGAATTTCGATTTTCTCTTTGCAGAGGCTTGAGTCCGGGAGCATGGGTTTCGAAAGTCCGCCTTGTTCTGAGACCTTTTTTGCTCATTTGTGCATCGCGTTTGCGCTTAACCGCACTTGCATGGTGGAGAACGTTTAGATTGTTGCATGTGCGTGTGTGTGTGTGTGTGACAATGCATTACCCGAGTGTTTGGGCGTCCAAATTTTTCTGTAGCAGTTTGATGACAACATCGATGAGCAGGAGCTGCGCGCTGACAAAGTTGTCCCATCACCAACACCATGATACAAACTTTAACCGACGGTTCGGAAGTAGAGACTTGCATCAATGCGGATTTTGTTTTTGCAGATGCCGGAGTTGTGGATGTCATCGCCGGTGCAGGCCCGGTGTCGACATTCCAAAACGCTCGCTGGGAGAATAGGAGAATTGTTGGCATTGGGACATGAGTCCATGTCGCGCTTTGAACTGCTTGGTGAATACCAGCAGTCCAGCAGTTTCACAGGCCTCTGCCAGGCCAGCGGGCCACGCAGATGCTGCGCCCTGAGCGGGTCTTCGCGTGACGTGTAAGAGCTGCACGTAACATCGAACCCAATCGTTCATCCGCTTATACTACCAAGCCGTCTATTCATTCCTTTAAAACTGGCGAAGGTCGACTTTTGTGTGGTTTTCGCGGATGCAGGTGTGCCAAGTTGGACTGGGGTTGTGTGCGATCGGCACATGCGCATAAATTCGTTCCTGTTATCCGGTATCGCATCGCATGCTTGAACAAACGGCACTGTCTTCTCTCGCCGCTTCCGCCGTGAGCAACGCCCCGATTGGATGCATGCCTTCCCGTTCTGAGGTCGAGTGCACTTTGCCGGTGCATTTGCGGCACAGGAAAGAAGGCTGCCCCACACAGAAAGGTGCTGAGCAAATCACCCTTGGACGTGAATGCCTGTGTTTGTATCCCGTATGTCAGATGCCTGCGTGATGGTGAGTAAAGGTAAGGGTACGGGTAGCATCTGGCATCGCATCGCGAGGGTGTCATGTTTTGCGGGGTTTTGGCCAGGATCAGTTCGAGCTTCAGCCGACGTTTAGCACTGCTGTAGCCTCAGAGTGAAGGCTCTTCGAAACTGTGAAAGGAGATGCTGGGAAGGCTTTGAGAACAGTTCAGTCCCTCACACCGGAGGAAGTCCCTGCGAATCCTCACCTCGAAACCACCCGAGATCCCCTAAGATTCACCTGAACCCCGAAGATCGCCAGAGACCCAAATCCAAAAAGGCCCGTGATCATCTTGGGCCCATAGGGGCCTTGGGTTTCTCCTTTGTGCCATCATGGTCTTATTGCAGAGATTCCCGAACCCCCCACCCTTTCCGAGGACTTCAACGTGGATGCCTGGTGCCCAGAAGTCACCCTGTGTGAGAGGCGGCCGAAATCACCTCCCATACCTCCACCGAAGCCTGCAGATAGTCTCAAGTTCAGATCTCCACCCGATGCAGCACAGAGTCCACATACATGATGGCCCGTGTGCTCATCGCAAGGCCCTGGGGGATACCGATGAGGCTCCTTTCTCCAGGTGCTGTGCACGCCAATGCTTCTCAAGGTTTCAGTTACTTCAGGATGACTGCTGATGTTCGGTCTCGGAATTCTAGTGTTGGGTGCGCCGTATTTAGCAAACTTCTCGGCATAGGGACATTGGCCTTGCAGCCTTGCTGGTCGAAGGCTTTTGGAATTTTCACTTCAGATCTTCGCTTGGTTGTTTTCTTTGTTTTCATTTTTTCCTCCGCAGCAGCCGGGAGGACCACAGCGGTCTTTGAGAAAACGGTTTCTCCACCAGAACAGCAGAACAGCAGAACAGAACATAGCAGAACACGCAGAACGAAGGGCCGGAAGAAGTGACTTCTTTCAGCGCGGGCATGTGGTTTCGTAGTTTTCTCAGTTCCACGAGGCCTCCGTTGACTGCCGGTCGGCTCACGTTCTCCTTGCTTCAGCAGCCGTTGCGCGGCACGCCGCCGCTTGGCCTTAAAAAAACCAGCCCTGATATGTCCCTGCACGTGCAGATGCTTGAAAGGGAACTCCGCAGTGGGGTCGAATCTCCTGCCCGACACACTATATCAGCCGAGCCCTCCCTCCCGCGGAATTCGAAGACGCCGAGTCTTGAGAAGGATACGCCAGGGGAAGCTGTGGTATCTCTCCTCGGAGGACCAGGCCGGAATCCTGGAGCTCGAAAGGGCTCGAAAGCATCCTATAGCCAGATCGACAAAAAGCCCCCGAAGTCTGGAAAACCGACGCTTTCTTTACCGGAGGTCGACTCGGTTCACTTCTCTCTCCATGTCAATGGCTTCTCCTTCTGGCACGAGGGTCCCGGGGCCGCAGTGGGTGGACACGGCGCCTTCTTGAGCTTTAGTCTCTAGTGTACCATGATAAGCTGCGGGAATACAGCAGTACTAAGCGCGCTGGAGAGGCATGCTGCTAGCGGGGAATACTTGTTTTTAAGTTGCAGTGATAGTGAAATCGAGCCGTAGCATGTCTATTTCTGATGCGTTCCAAAGCAGGGTCTACTGACAACGCTGCTACTGACACACTGACACAAGTTCAAGCCCGGAACAACAAATGTGAGCCTCTGATCGTAAAGAGGGTGGAGGGCAGGTCGTCCTTTCAGCAGTTTGTCTCTAAAACACCTGAGGCGCCGAGGTGGCCATCTCCCTGTCACCCTTCGTTCTCGTGCGGAATTGCAAGTTCCAGAGCGGCAGGGGCCCCAGGCCTCCTGCCGGCTTTTGCGGATCTCGATTCGGAACCCCAAACCTCAGCCATAAGTCTTCGGCATCCACACTCAGGACTTCGAGTGGTTTTGTCTTGGCTCTTTTTTGGGTATGCCGTGCAAGCTTTTTGTGCACCTGGCCGAGGCTACAACTCCACGCTTTCGGCGCAGCACTCGGGTTTGCGGCTGTGGGTTGCCTTGACGCCTGGTTTACGATTCTGTCTTCTGAAGCAATAGCCCAAGGACATCAAGATCTTCAAGATCTCCTTATTTGCGTACTTTGCCTGCACTGGTCGGGGTCGGGGGCCAGTAAAGAGCAAAGTGTGGTGCGCCTTAGCCTACCGAGAACACGCCTTATAACCTCGCCTTCCCTCAACCTCAACGTGCCAGAGGCACCACGCGTGCTACTACTTTGGCGTCCGGAGCACCGACGAGCGCTGGGCCGAGGACGAGCGGTCGAGGTGGGTTTTGGACGTCTCCAGAGCGGTGAGGCTCGTGACTGGGCAAGGAAACACATTGGGATTGGGACTCCTAGTCCTAGGTCCTAGGATGTGGGCTTTTGACGGCTCGTTTATTTTTTTCCCCGGAGCTTCTCCGTGAGGTGACGCAAAGCCTGTTCCCCCCGTACCGCATCAGCTGCGATCCACAGCAGGCCTGCCTAGTCTCACCACGGCCAGCACCCTTGAGTCTGAGCCCTGAGCCCCGAAAGGGCGCCAAGCACACGGCAACCCGTCTCATGGCCGGCTACGTGGTGCCTCGAAGGGCACCTGAGAGTTTCTCGTGTGCTTGTGGCCTGGTGCCGGGTAGGCAGTTTTTATGGGGTGCATAGACACGCCGAGGTACACCACGACGATGCGACTCGGGCCGTCATGGTGCGTTTCAGGGATCGGGTGTTGTGAGCTGCAGCCCGGTTGAGGCTTTAGGGCCCTAGGGCTGCAAGCTCTGGAGGTCTCGACTTGCTCGGTGGTGTACTGCGAGCTCCACGCGCACCAGGGAGATCTGGCTCGTGTGACCATGTACGAGAACGACCTCTGCCAGGTGCTTTTGGAGGGGTCGAGTACATTGTACCTATTATGATATTAGTTCTTGTTTCAGGTTTGTATGTATAAGTGTATGATGTATTTTGATCTATTGCAATTTTTATCGACTGTGGCCGGGGCGATTCTTAACCGCGGGTAGAACGGAGGCTTTAGGATCCAAGGGCTAGCTTCGGGCAAGAAAGGCGCGGGTGGCTGAGATTGACATCTACGAGAGCGCCACGTGTTCCGAGAAGATCGGCATCAATTGCAGCTGCTTCAGCGTGGAGGTGGGGTTGGAGCACCTTATACTCCAAGTAACCTGTTCGGGGTTCGGTGATCATTTGCCGCTATGATATGGCATTCTGGCGTCGCTGTCGCATTGCTTCAGCAAGTGACGGACGACATGCTCTACTCTGCTCTCAGACCCATCTCCGGCCCTTCTTACAGTGTCAGTTCGAAGCACGTATCGCCGCAACAGCTTTTTCGCATCTCCAGGGCTGCAAGCAGCAGTCCGAGCAAAAGATACGGGCGAGCGCAGCAATATGATCAACGTGCTTCTAACCATCAACTCATGAAGTGCAGAGAAGGCTTGTCATGGCCATCATCGGCATCCCCTCTTCACCTGCAGTCTCCTCTGAGCGCCCACCTCTTCATCTTCTTAAAGCCTTCTTCGCCTTTCTCTTCATTCTGAACGACATAGTGGTCTTCGTGACACCCTCTTCTTCATATAAGCACATTTGTTGTGGCAGGACCATCAGTTCTCCTCCAGGACGCTGGCGGAAAGAAAGCTTTGGCTTCGCGTCTCTCGCCCGGCTTTGGTGCCTTTATGCAGAAAATCCAGGAGACTCACAGAGATAGGATTTGCTCTGCTTTCTCCAGTGCAGGAGAGAACTTTAGGGCGTGTACAGTACTTCTTGGATGCGGTGCATTAGTGTTTACTCCGGCTGCATGACCGAAAGACATGACATCAGTGTGGTCCGTACAGTTTGGTGAGCTTGCTCCCACACTGAGGCCATTTCCAACGTGAGAGCTCAAAGCTCAGCAGTGTCTGTAGCAGGCTGTAGTATATACTGCACACAAAACACTGCCGACTGAAATGGTGTAGGTTCTGGAACCAGAAGAGCAGTTTCATGTAATGACAGATTCGACAAAGCCTGCACAAAAAGTGTTAGTACAGTTGCACTCCCGAGGGACATGTTCCGCATATGAAAGCATTGCTTCTGATGTGCATACCGCAGCCCTCAAATCACGTGGGAAAAGAAGTTCATGGTAGCGGAGCCTTCGGGCTCCCTACCGGTAGGAGGTCCCACGCCCCAGCCTAGGGGCCCTCTTCAGTTTCACCACATATTCTTTTCTGCCTTTCGGAGAAGCTGCAGCCTCGGTTGCCTACTCCTAATCCTTTTCTCCAGCGCGGCCCTCGCCACCAGTTTTCCGGAGCCCTTTGTGGCAGGTTTTGGTGCAAGCAAAGCGTGGTGGTGCAGCGCAGCTGGTGCAAGCAGAGCTTGGTGGTTCAGCTCAGGTGGTTCAAGCAGAGCGTGGTGGTGCAAAGCAGGTGGTTCAGGTATTCTTACAAGTGGGGCAGCGACTGGCAGGTTTCGTCTTGCTGGAACAGGACCTTCTACCGGGAGGAGTTTTGGTTACGATCCAGGGACAATGGAAGCTCAACCAAGCAATGGCCAGCCAGGCCAGCAGCAGCAGCAACAGGCAGCAGGCAATGGGGCAGCCGCATCGGCGGCCGCAGCCGCAGCAGCGGCGGCAGCTGTTCCAATGGAGCAGCAAGTGGACTTGATCGTCAGGAGGCGGTTGGAGCAAGCTATGAATGGAGTGTTTGGGCGGCTGCTGCAGACCACGGAAAGGACAGCAGCAGCAGCAGAGGCCCAGGCGACTGTCACCAAGAGCGAGGCGATCCTCAAGAGTATCAAGTGCGAGGTGTGGAGGCCAGCAAACCGAGAAGAGGAGCTAAAGACATGGCGCGAGTGGTGGCTACAGTTTTCTACTTGGCTGCTGGCTGTGGAGCTAGCGTATGAAAAGGACCTCCAGGAGATCGACGTGGACACCCCCGTGGACAGCGAGCTGATGGATGACGCCATGCTGGCTCGAAGCCAGCGACTCTACGCTGTGCTTTGTTCGCTGGTCAAGGGCCGGCCTCTTCTTATTGTCCGGGCCTTTGACTCAACCAAGGAGGGGCTAGAGGCGCTTCGGATGCTTCGGCGAGAGATGGAACCTAGGGAGAAGACGAGAACTCTTGCGTTGATGCGGAGGCTTGCGGCGTGGGAGTTCAAGGGAAACCAAGGCCTCTATGAGCAGCTCATCCAGTACGAGGAGGCGCTGAAGCAGTATGAGCAGGCATCGGGGGAAGCGTTTCCTTCGGAGATGTCGTTGGCTACAGTGGTCATGGGGCTCCAGGAACCGCTTCGCAGCCAAGTGCAACTCCGGCTCACAGGCAAGACAAAGTACAGCGACATCCGCGAGTGGGTCCTCCAGTACGAGTCGTTGAACGCGCCTTGGTCGTCGGCTGTGCTGGGTGGATCCACAAAGGCGAAGCTCGGCAAGGACGAGCCACAGCCCATGGATGTGGACCGGATCAAGGGCAAAGGCAAGGACTACAAAGGCAAAGACGGCAAAGGCAAGAAGGGCAAGACTGGGAAGAATGATTGGAGCAAAGGCGGGGGAAAATGGTACAGCAAGGACTATGGCAACGGCACCGGCAAGGGCAAGAATGGCAAGGACTACAAGGGAAAGGACGGCAAAGGCAAGAGCAGCAAGGATGGCAAAGGCAAGGGTCAAGCAAGCCTTTGCCACAATTGCTGGCAACCCGGCCATTGGAAGAACGAGTGCCCTTGGAAGGGCAGTGGGAAGAGCACGGTGCGCCAGGTCGAGGAGGTCTCCCCGGGCCCTCTCCCAGGCTCGTCTCAGTCTACGGCGTCAACAAGTGCCAGCGCGTACAGGACCCCGAGCACTGTGAACATGATCTCAGCGAGCCGGGCGATGGACATTCACACACCGCCTGGCTGCAAGGAGGCCCTCGTCTTTGACAT